TGGGTGTAACTGTTTCAGTAGAAAGGAAGGCTGTTTGAGATTAATGATAGCGGTAGTCAACAGGAAGGTAATCCACTGCTTTAGATAGTAGTACTGGTCCAGGGTAGCTAAAAGTGTTCATAAGACCACAGGATGATTCAGAGTGGAAGGGACCTCAGGAGTTCTGTAGCCCAACCTCCTGCTCCAAGCAGATCAGAGCAGGTTGCTTAGGGCTACATCCAGTGGGAGCTTGGAAATCACCAAGGATGGTGGTTGCAAAACTTCTCTGAGCTCCCATCCATGACTATCCACTGGGTGAAAATGGTTTTCCTTATACGCAGCCTGAAGCTCTCTTTTTTCAGTCTATGCCTGGTTTCTCCCAACCTCCCTCCATATACAACTGGAAAAGCCTGACTCAAAAAGCTGTCATCCGAGGCAGCCACAGCTGTGGTCTCTGCCTGCAGCCACACTGCTGATTTGGACTGTACTGCCGGGCAAGTTGCCACAAACTTTCTTTGGGAGGAAAATGTGTGGTATGTTTCCACATTTGCATAAAAATTCTCTATAGTTTACCACAAAGCAACGAATGAAATAACTCATCAAATCATTCAAAGATGGCAAAAGTCAATAACGTTCTCTGTGCATAAGACATAGGTGTTACTGGACAGTGGAATTAACCTCACACTTATAACAGGAGTGACATTTGTATATACTGCTGTCTGCCTCTGACATGTATGGATCATGTTAATCCATTCACTTCCCTTCCCTGGTTTTCTATCACATGAAATGAAGCATAATAAATTCTATGAATCTTCTGAGTATTTTAACACTCAAATTCCATTTGTTCTTTGAAATTAAGAGCAGGCTATTTAAGAATCTATTTTTTTCTTTAAAAAATAAATCAAATACCAAAAAAAATAAAATTAAACACCAGAAATTACCACAGTAATGATAAAATACACCTTGCATATATCTTGTGATTATTTCCCCCCAAATGCACTTTCTGTAGTATTATGAATTATCGTGCAATATATTTTTGACAATAGGGAAATGTAAGTATGTGAGAGAAGCAATACTTGAAGTATATTTCAGCAATATTATAGAAAAAATTAATTATGTAATTAGATACTACACCATTTAAACCTCAATTTCAGTGCCTTAGTGACACTTTAAAAACATATTACATATATTTTAAACATGTTTATCTATTTTTGAGCAGACTGCAGCTTCCTGCCTAATAGCTCATCTGAAGTCATTCTCGGACCCCAGGAAACTGCTTCTGAATACTAGTGTTTAGAGTTTAACACATACCATACCTAGGTTCATTTTGTGGTGGTAAGGCTGGATCACACTAGCATAAGATTTTGTTTTCAGGGATCAGACCATGGGACTTATACCGAAACTGTGTTTCTCCCCTTTTCTCAGTATATGCTTAGTTGAGTTAATGTGCTCCTTTTTACTAAAAAAAAAAAAAAAAGCAGCAATGCACACAGCATTTTCTCCCTGTGCCTTTCAGGTATTTGCATGAGACTCAGCAGGTTTCTTAGGAAATGCCACTTCCTAGAGAAAAAAGAGAATGCTGAGAAACTCCACCCCCTCCTCCTCTCACTCCAAATCTGACACCCAGTATTCCTCAGCCTGTTTTTCCAGCCGTGTGGCTGACTCTGACTAAGGGAGGGGAACTGGAGAGGAATTCTCTTCTTACCACTTCCACGTCTGTATTTCCACCTATCTTCTACACTGTAGTGTTTCTGCTGAAACTTCCTTGTCTTTCATTACCAAACAATAGCAGCTCGTGGCCTAGGGTGTGTACTGAGTGTGCCTGAATCACCATACAGCCCTTCCCTTTTCCTCTTCCAGCCCTCGGTCCTGGCAGAGGTACTGAAGTGGAAAGCCCCACTTCACCTTTCCCATCAGTATCAAATCTGTACAGTCCTACGCATGCTCTTTCACATTTTTTCCCAATCTAAATGTACATATCATCAGTTACCTTTGAAATATACACCCATTTTCACATATTCTTACCCAGGAATATGCAAGGCAACTTAAGAGTCCAGATACTGAGTTATTAGGCAGGTGGTATGATCCTGTGATAGGGCTGTTTCTGTCACGCTTGAGTTGGATGACAAACTGAACGGTTTTAATCCCACCGTCACAGTTTAGGCCCACTCAGCTAAGCAAATCACAGCCAAAAATGTTCAGTCACAGCTGTGCTGCTGTTCACTGCTAGAGACTGACTTGAGGTGCCTGACTTGAGGTCTATGATTTTCAGATGTTTCTTCAACTGTCCCTGAAAAGCTGCCTCTGTACATGTGTTTAGGCATCCAAAATAATTAATAATGTTTTAATATCTTGGGTCACATGATATGGCAGAATTACTTTGCTAACAAGACCATCAGATGAAGATGAGTGAGAATTTCACTGTTTTACAGAAAGGACTTAGGAGGACAAGGGGTTGCTTAAAACTTAATTACTGTTACTGTATTTCTGTAAGATGAAAGGGGAATAAAAAGAGAAAAATGATGATGGATGAGAGTGTAGCGAAGTATACAAGTCTAACATCTTGCTTAGACTTCAGAACTCTTGTTCAGCAATGCTGTTGATGGATATACTTTCCTCTGATGTTAGCTGGGAGAAGTCCTATTCAGAAATAATTGGAACGGCTAAGGAGCCTCTGGTCAGTATTGCCTATTTCATCTGGTGGCCTAGGGCAAAGTACACAGCAAATTAACTTTGGCTGTGACAAACCAAGTCTGTTTAAAGGGAGTTTGCTATGCTTTTAAGAGAAAGTTTAGAAGAATCTGTCTGGAGAGAAGCAAGGTAAAAAGGGAAGCAAGAAAACAAGGCAGAGAAAGCAAGAGAGAGCTCTTTCTGAGCAGAGAAAGTTGGTCTTTTTCTACTCTGTAATTTAGCAGGGTGTTTTAAGAAAGTTAGCTCACTCTCACTGATGTTTTGAAAGCTCTTCTCAAAACAGACTGTACTTGACCGTAGATTAATTGAATCAATTCACAGCCTCTTTTCTCTAATGAGCAATGTACAGTAAATTACAATTTGTCTAGTTTTGACCAGATCTGGTACGTTTCTGAGGGTTTTAGATATGTTAAATATTAGGTTTCACTATATTTCATGTAATACTTAATATCAAACACTATATCTTTTAACATCTGTCATGCCCCATTTGCTATCTAGTCACAGCCATAATTTTGCTGTTCTTCAACAGGCACCAAGTTGTAATTAAAAACTACAGGGCTGTTTAAAGGGTTTAGTAAAATTGTACTCACTGGGGATGTCCTCAGGGCCCACAGCTGAAATGCAGTTACCAGTCAGAAATTCAGCATACTAATGGGGATATGACTCCAGCTCTCCATGTCCATGTCACTTGAACTCTGAGTTTTGATTTATTCCCTCTATGGCTTCCAATTCATTCTAACCAAGAAAGCAGTGCTTCACATATGCATTAGCCAGGTATTTACTCTAACATACCTCCAAATATTGTCACAGTCAAATAAATGATTAATATTTGAATACATAAGTTTGATACAAATGTCACCAAAATTACAGAAGTTATTATGTAGTGAAGGCTGTATGTGTGTATTACACACATTTGAAAACTGTGAAATCTAGGAACATCCTACTTTCTTGACAGAAAGGATGTGAAGATCAGCCCATTTCTACCAGCATATGGGATCAGTGTGAAACTGTGTTGCACTTGGGAGTACCAGCATATCCTCTCAACTGCTATTACTTATAATGCACTGTGAGTATGCCTGCTTTGTAGACATGTGAATGACAAGGCTGCTGCTCCAGGAAGCTTGTATCTTGACTTGTGTACAACACAAAGGCTAATAGTTCAAGTTCTTAGGAGAACGAAGAACAAGTCAGGTCTTCAGGGCAAAACTGGTTAATAGAAGGCTTGAGAAAAGTCTGAGGCTTTAAGGCCATTCCCTATAGGCTCTGGTTTTCCTTCATAAAATAAATAATGAAGACCCAATTTTTAATTACTTCAGATATTTCAAGAATGTCAAAATTCCTGAGGTTTATGTACCATATTCCCTTGCACATTGTATGTTCTTGCACCCTAATTTGAACTCGCGGAGGTTCGTTTTGCAAAAATAACACTTATTAAATGCAATAGCCACTGCTAATAAACAAAAATAACGTGACAATGTTTTCACAGCCTATCTGTATTTGCCCACATATACTCAGTCCCTTTGCTGTTTGTCATCATCATTTTAGTAATGACGTAACTTAGCTAAGTAAAGTAACTAATAGATTCTTTCGGGGAAGATTAATATTTACCGATACAATTAAAATGAAAAAATGGCTACTTTTGAAGCGAAAAAACCTTCAAAACCTTTTTGATATCTCAAGATGAAACTGAAAAGGGTACAAGCCCACAGCTGTTTTTCAGACAACCCATGTTTCAGGACAGATCTCAAGGGTGCCAGGCTGTTTGATGCAAGATTTGTGACCACCTGAAGTAAAGGCACCCTAATCTGTGTCCTTAATCTCCGTCGTTGTTCTGGATTTGTTGGACGACCTGTCAGAGCAGGACAGGATGAAGATGGAGAATGGAACAGACTTGAGGGCCTCCCTCCGGGGTGAGGTGCTGACTGGTGGTTCCCGGTGCTCTGTGTGTACCTTTCCCTTTCTCTGCGGACAAACTCCTCTGGCCAGCGAGGGAGTGCGGTGGGATGGGACGGGGACAGAACGGGCTGTCACCTCAGTCTCTGGAACCGTCAGGCTGGATGTCTGAGGGGGCTGAGAGCCTGTAGAGAAACACCCCGGAGTTGTGCAATGAAGTTTCGCGGGACAGGGTGCCGCGCAGCCCCTCTCCCACACACACCTCCTGGGGATCCCCGACCCTCCCGCTCCTCACCACCGTCCCGCGCTGCCCTCCCTGCCCGGCGGGGACAGGCGGAGCCGCCCCGGGCCCCGGGGAACACCGGTGCCTGGCCGGGCGCCCGTTTCCCGGGACTACGTTTCCCAGGGATCCGCGGCGCGGCCCCGCCCGCTGTCAGCGAGCGCTGCAGGTTGATCGCCGCGGCTGCAGATGAGCGGAGCCCGCGCGGGCGGGGGGGCGGCCGGGGCAGCGCCGCCGGGGCCGGGTCGGCGATCGGCGCACTATGCGAGGCCGGGAGGATGGCGGTGGAAGGTAAGGGCTCCGCGTCCCCTGCCCACCGCCCCCGGGGTCCCTCCCCTGTCTCCTCCCCCGGGCACTCACCTGCGCCGCGGCGGGGCCGCCCCGGCCCGGCCCGGCCCGGCTCGTCTCGGCCGGGACGGGAGGGAGGGCAGTGCCCACCGGCGGGGCCGCTCTGCCGCCCTGGCCTCGCCAGCGGGGCGCCCCCCGCGCCCCTCGGCCCGGCCGCCCCCAGCGCCGCGCCTGCCCCGGGCCAGGTGCCGCGGGGCCGGGCCGCGACTGCCGCCCCCGCCTGCGGTGGGGGAGGCGGCAGGGGCCGCCCGGAGGCTTCGGTCGGCAACTTCCCGGCGGGCCCGGAGGTGCCGCCTCTCCCGGCACGGGCGGCCGACCTGCGCCGCCTCCCTCCGGAGCGGCCCCGGCGGCCGCGCTCAGCCCCGGGCGCCTTCCCCCGCCCCGCCGCCGGCCGGTTCCCGCGGGCGCCGCCGTCGCTCGCTGCCGCCCCGGTCCCCGAAGTGCCCCGAGGCCGCGGTGCCCACGAAGCTCCCGCAGTCCCCGATCGCTCCCGCGTGGGCGCAGAGCTGTGCCCGAGGGCCGAGGTGTTCAGCTCCTGGGCAGGCGGGAGCTGTGAGGTGTTCGCGAGGTCTGCCCGGCTCATGGGAAAGTACCCGATAACTGAGACGATGCCTACCAAGACCTGGAAAAGTGGATGGTTTGGGGAGGTCTTCCAGTTGATACTGGGCTCCTGCAGCCGTCTGACATTGGCTATGTGTTCCCTTTCCATGGGGCTTTTGGGAAGTTGGAGGAGAGAGGTATCTAGGTGTATGGGAAAAAGTAGATCTGCTTTGCTGCTGTCCACTTCCAAAATTCACTCAGTTTTCTAGTGCTTTAGAGCAAGGTATTGACAATCCTGGGTTTTGTGCCTCCTCTTGCTTTATTTGGTGCCCTTGGGAAAGTTTAAGAAATCCACAGTGCGTAGAGTAGCCATATCACCTCTTCTCCTGTGCTTAATTTGGGGTGTGTCAGTATTTTTGGGGTGTTCATCTTGAGACTACCATGAGCTTTGTTTCTTAGTTATGATGAGATTACAGTTCCATCAGAAGCACTTGCTTTATTGCTGAAAATCGTGCTGAAGTTGTCTTTTGCTGGGTACCCAAGTGAACAGTGCAAATGATAGTCCAGCAAAAGCTTGGGCTTCCTGAACACAGTGTGGAGCTTAACATCCCTGAAAACCAGCTTCCTATGCAAATTCAAATAAAGGTGAACGAGACCACTATGTCTCAAAACGTATCTGTGTACCTCTCAAGTTGTTCATACTGAGCTTCTCCATGAGGCAAACAGATTTCTTATGCACAGGCTGCTTTACTGAATGGCAGTTGAAGACTGGAATGATACAAAGGAGGAAGGTAGTTAGTGGTCCTGAGTAAAAGCATTACTTCTTTGGTGGCAAAAGCATAGTGACAAGAACTGGGCATGCGTGCCCAGTAGTGGGTAAGTAAGTAAATGAAATGGACTGCCATGCACCAGATGGTTCATATGCCAGCAGCAACCCCTATTTCAGTGTGCTCACTAATGTCATCCTCCTTTATTTACTTGAAGTCCTTCTCAGTCTGTTTGCTAGATCTTTTCGGGTCTGTAATAATTCCTGTCATATCTGCAGTGCCCTCCATCTGAGAATCTCTAAAAGCTTTGTAAATATTAATGAAGAAAAGCTCTGCTAAAGCTTTGGGAAGCAGTGCTTTTTCCCTTCTCCTGGGATGGGATTTTTTTCTTTAACTCCTTCATCCCATTTCCTTCCCTCAGGATGCATCCTGCTGTGGTGTCTCAGAACAGGCTTTCTTGTCTGTATGTTCTGCATTCCTCCCATTTTGTTTTTTTTTTCTCTCTGAACTATCTGGCCTTTGCATAATTCTGTTGCCCTTACACTTACCCAGGAATATGACTATTTCAGCACAAGCTGCCATGTGGCTGTGACTACTTTGTATCAACATAGTGCATGCCCATTTCAGGCCTTTTATTATCCATCGTTTTCTGTTGGAACTATGTTTCTTTGTGTGACTGTGCTTAAAAGCCTGCTTTTATCTTAATGCATCTTCTGCTGTATTGGAGCCCTGGGAGTGAGCTGTGTTCTGTTCCTGAACTGTGACTTTTGGCAGGGAACGTGGCATTACGGCTTGTATTTGGGAAGCTGAGAGGTTACTTGTTCCTCATGGCTCTCATCACCACAGTGTACAGATCCTACTTCAGTCAGAAGTAAAGTTGCCATTAGATCTTCTTCTAAATAAATAGTTTTGTAGAAAAATGGCAGTTTGCTGAACTCAAAATGTCTCGAACTCAGGAAGCACAAACAGTTGGGTTTTTTTATTCTTCTGTTAATTTGTTTGTTTTAATTGGAAAAAATGTTTTCCTGGTTTGCAGCTTGGGATCTCAAGAGCATAACCTGTACATCAGCTCTGGACATTTGCAAATAAGGAAAGCCCTGAAAACCTGGTTTAAGCTGAGGTTGTCTATCCTCCCAGTTTCTGTAGTACTCATCTGGGAGCTTGGCTAGGATGGGCTTCCAGGGTTTTCGGAATTTTTAATGGAGTGTTGAATGGTTGGGCCAACTGGCTCCTTGTGCAAACTTGCAAGTGGCTGGCTTTGTGATGCAACTGGCAGGGAGTGGAAAGGTCCCTGGGGCACAAGGGAGCCGTGGATTCTGGAGCATGGGAGTTCCTGGCTGAAGCCAACATCCGCTGCCCCACCAGCTCCACCACGGCTATTGTTCTATGGAAACTGCCTGTTTGTCAGCTTCAGCCACAAACCCAGAGAGTTTCTTTTGTTTCTCCTTTCACAAATGCTCTATGTGGCTAAGGTGAAAATGTTTTTTAGCTTATGCTTTGTGGAAAATCTTTGAAAAATTTGTTCATTTTATCTAAAAAATTGTTGAAATCTTACTCAAAGTATTTTTATCCTGTCTTAGTATGGAGTGCTGGGGTCTAGTTATGGAAACAAATCTTCATCAGTTTACTTAAGGAAAATATCCAAAATTTTTTACTGGGTTAGCTGACAGAGATGGACTAGCAAATATGAAATAGGAATGTGAAGGGTATTTCAATTCCTTGCCAGTTATATATAATATGTATTGAATGCCCCAGAAGATTGTGTGGACTGGGAGGTCCTTTGGGCTGCATAGTGCCAGTGCTTCCAGATTGATGAAAGGATTGGTGTGCGTATGGGGAAAGTGAGTTTGCACTCCTTAATATGAGCCCATCTAGATGGGAGCACTGCCAAGGTAAGTCTATTTTTAGAGCTAACAGTTTTGACAATGTTCCTTTAAGTGGTTTTTTTCCCTCTAGTAAGAATGAAAGAACTAGGTCAGAGCCAGTAGAAAAAGGCTTTTGATCTCTGCAACACTGTTCTCAAATTTTTTTTTTTTTCATTTTGCTCTTGTGCAGCAGAGGTAAAGAGGAAGAGAGAGAAATTATTTCTTTTCCCCACAGTGTTTATTGCATAGGAAAGTGAGAGACTGACAGCACCCACTAGATGATGTATGCATGCAGGTGATCCCAGACAGTTCTGTTGGATCCCCTGCAGCTCTGACCTGTGGTGTCTTTGAGATTCCTGAGCAAACAAAATGCTGATTATATCATAGAGTTCTTTGGTAGTGTTTAATGAAATTTGGTCTAACACCTTTCTTGCTATGTACAGGCTTTGGAAAGTGCACACATACATTTGTTGCAGGTCTCCTCCTGAAAGCTTATATAAACTTCCACTCTCCTATGGCTCTTCTGTAGTGGGCTCATGCTATTCAGACTGTGGATCTTCCTACAGGGTAATATTTTTTACTAAGAAGTGGAGCCTTGCTGACATAAAATGACAATGGCTGGTCTTACCCCTTAGTAATTCTCAAGGGGATTAAGACTTGAAGGAGGTTAGGGCATTCTGAGGGGTGGTATCAAGGTTAATTGCTGCAGGACAGAGGTTACTTGCAGCTTGTAACCAACCATCAAAGTGATCCTCTGAATTTCAGCAACGTGATGCACCTGAGTGAAATGCCTTCAGTGCCTAGCAACTCCATGGATATTGAATGGTGCCATGTGTTTCCTCAGAGACTGGAGATATGGTGAGCTCATAGATATGCTATGCCAACTCTGCCCGGAATGTTAAAGTGAGTTCAGGATTGCCCGAAGGACAGCTTTGAAGCAGCTTTCAGTGTAGGTACCTATCATGCTGTTCCAGGGTGTGCCCAAAAGTGCAACTCTTTTGACAGGTATTCATTTATTCTGCTTTGTCTTAGTCCTACACCCACTTCAGTCTCAGACTAGATGTCTCCAAGTTTCCAGGGAATGTGATCTAATAGATGGTGTTTCAGCACACGTAACTTGCCTATGGAGCAAAGAAGTAACAAACCCTCTGACTCAAAAATAGCACATGCTTCCATCAGTGTTTTTGTTTTCTTCGGTAATTTCTAACCACTTCTTAGCTAGAGGGACTCCAACATGTGGCTTGGAAAGATCTGCCAATTGGAAGCTGGACTGAGAGACATATCTCATTTCAACTTTCCAGCTGAAACAGTCACATTGGGTCATAGCAGAGGAGATGATTAAGACCAGTGCTGGAGGTGCACACAGGACAGCGAGGCATAAGATTTGGATGTTAGCCTTTGGTCTTGTATTCTGTATGTTATTTTGTGACCATTTATTGCAAAAATGCATCAACAATTATGGGATACCAGACTGGAACATAGGTCTTCTCCTATCCACATTCATGTGGCAGCCTTCTTGTTGGGCTGTGACATCTACACCCTTATTTCTTGGTCAGCAACACCACAACCTCTCTTCCACCCCTGCAGTATGCATACAGCCTAGTGGCAGTGTGTGCTTCTCTGCTTTGAACCACTGCTTAGAGCTTTCCAATCTATGTTGCTGCACTTGAAAAAGTCACAGTTCATGATCCCTCTCCAGAGGAGTAATGTAGCTGTTTAAGTCCAGGAGTCTGTTTTGTGTTGCCAAGTTCTCATTTTGAACAGGTACACC